AATGTTAAAATAATGAAACTAACAAGAAATTAAAATTTTATAAATTTGAAATATAAAAAATAGAGATGATGGTACTAATCAAAAAGAAAAAAATAGAGATAGTGGGTTTTAAAAAAAAATGCTTTTTTTTTTTAACATTTCATTCCTTTAAAAAAAATTATCAATAAATTTGAATTTTAAGTATTGAGGTAAAAAATTTTATAAAAACACTTTTAATTTTTTTGAAAAACAAAATATTTACAACAAATTTTTTTTATCATAAACTTTTATAAAAAAACTCTAACCACATCAAACGAATCTCAAAAAGTTAAATTTTGGGATATATCCGGGACTAACAAGTGATTTGTGTCCAATATTATTAAAATTCTCAACACCAAGCACGAGCATATCTAAGTCGTCCCCTATACTTGTCTCTAAACATCACTTTTTTTGGAGTGACGTTGAAGAAAAAGCAAAACTTCCTTCATGGAAGGTCTGGAAGATGGTAAAGTGCTTGTACATATAAGCCCCAGCTTGTACACAACGGTCATTTCCTCCAAGTGACAAGGGCCGTCGATCTCCGGATCAAACATTTCAACCTCAGGCCTTCCCTCAGTGTAATGTCGCCATGCCCATTGTGCAAGGTTAGTGTGCTCATCTCCACAGTTGGCTTCTCTTCCAGTTACCAATTCCAGAAGCACCACTCCAAAGCTATAGACATCAAATTTTTCATTCACCTTTGTAGTATATGCGTATTCTGCAATATATAGATCAAGTAAGCAAATAGATTTCACTACAAAACTTCCATAGAACTCTCTATTGATCTTACCTGGGGCAAAATAACCAAAAGTTCCAGCAACTGCGGACATGGTGTGAGGTTCTCCCTGCCTAGTTAGCATCTTTGCAAGTCCAAAATCAGCAATTCTTGCCTTGAATTCCGAGTCTAACAAGATGTTGCTAGATTTAACATCACGATGAATAATGGGTGGACAGCAGTCATGGTGCATGTAGCAAAGCCCCTGAGCCGCTCCAATTGCAATTCGCATTCTTGTTGGCCAGTCCAGTACGATGTGGTAAATTGAATTCGTCCCGATCGTAGTGGATTTTTTCTTCTTCCCATGTAGCCACCTATCCAGGCTCTGGTTCTCCATGAACTCGTATACCAGAAGCTTCGAATTCTCACTGGAAATGCAACACAACAGCTTCACTATGTTGGCATGGCGAATACTGCCCAAAATTTCAACTTCTGCTATGAACTCTTTCTCCAACTTACCATCCAGTTTCTTGTTATTCCAAATTCTCTTCACAGCTACAAAACCACCTGACTCATTAATAGCAATCTTGTACACTTTTCCAGACCCACCACTTCCTATTAAATTACTCTTCGTTAACCTGTACACGATATTCTCTTCTGTGAAATCTAATCTATGGAACGAGGTTAGCTTCCATGTTGCAAGATCACCTCCTCGTTTTTTACTTCGGTAGTCTATCATCACGAACAGGATCAATAAAACGGTAACTATGACGATTAAAACCGCAAGAGACAGAATCAAAGGAAGATATTTAGAGATCAGTTTTCTGGGTTTGGAGCTGCAGTCTGGGAGATTTAGGATTGGAGTATCTGCACAGAGATTGGAATTGTTCAAGAAACTGTTTTCGTAAGCAAGGTTGTCAAACTCATCTGGGATTTTACCGGAGAGTTTGTTGGATGATAAGTTGAGTGACGTGAGCTTCAGATTGCCAAGGTTTGCAGGGATTTTCCCAGAAAATTGGTTTTCTGATAAATCCAGCTTGAGGAGGTCGGGTAAAGACCCAATTGCTACCGGGATTGGACCAGAAAGTTTGTTGCCGGATAGATCCAAGGTATGCAACGATTTCCAGGAGGCTATATCCGATGGTAATTCACCGGAGAGTTGATTTCCATCTAGGTGGAGAGTAATTAGGCGAGAAAGATACGTTATTTCCTCAGGGATTTTGCCAGAAAAGAGATTGTTACTGGCCTCGAAGACTGTCAAACTTGACCAAGAACCAATTCCGATGAGGATTTCACCGACCAATTTGTTATTGCTGATTTTCACCATGGACAGATTCCTTGCGAGTTGGCTCGGTAATTGCCCCGAAAATGAGTTGTTACTCAGTATCAAGACTGTTAAATTGAAAGTCGTCCAGAGACCTGGAGGAATCTCGCCTGAAAACTGGTTGTTTTGCAGCTGAACAGTCCGGAGAGTGCTGCAATTTCCTAGCAAAGCCGGTATTTCTCTGCTTAGATTGTTTGAAGACGCAACCACTCTCAGTAGAACACCGCCGGCGCATAAATTTTTCGGTAGTTGACCGGTGAATTGATTGTCCCAGACCTCAAAATATTCGAGCTTTGAGTGGAGGCCTAATTCCGGTGGCAAGACTCCACTCAATTTGTTTGAGAAAACAAGAAATGTCTTCAAAACCGGAAGTTGATCCATGCCGGCCGGTATCTCCCCTGTTAACTGATTCACACACAGATTAAAGAAAACCAGCTTTTTCATCATCCCAAATTCCTCCGGAATCGTGCCTGTCAAATCGTTCATGGAAAGATCAATTTCAACCAAGTTCCAAGCTTCGACGGTTCTGGGTATCTGGCCGGAGAGTTCATTGTTGCGGAGATACAAGTTAGTCAGATTCTTCAACATGAGAAACCTGCTAGGGATCGGACCTTCCAAATTGTTCTTCGATAGATCGAACCATTCTAGGCTCGAGAGATCGGCGAAGTCGTTCGGAATTTCGCCAATTAAACTCGTCTCCGTCATCCCTAAGTACTTCAATTTCTTCAATTGAGTAAACCTATCAGGTATCTTCATCGGCACAAAACCATTATGGGCCATCCATAGAAGCTCAAGATTGGATAGGTTTCCAATTTCGGCCGGAAAAGTGCCGTTGAACTCATTATGTTGAAGATGAAGTTCTTTTAATTTCCGTAATCCTCCGATGGTCGGAGGAATATTTCCTGAGAAGTTGTTGCCACTGAGGTCTAAGTAAACCAGAGTAGATAACTGGTAAATGTTACCGGGAATTGAGCCGATAAAGTAGTTGTGGGAGAGGTCTAAGTGCTGCAGCTTCGAGCAATTGTAGAGCAAAGTTGGGAACTCACCGGGGATGAAATTGAAGGCCAAATCAAGGAACGTGAGGTTCTTAAGTTTGCAGATTGATGATGGGATTTTGACGGTGATGTTTATATCGTGGAGCGAAACGCTGGTGACTGAACCATCAGTGCAGTTGATCCCTGGCCAAGAACATGGTGAGGATGAGTCGTTCCATGACTGGATGGCCGGCAGGTTGCCCAACTGCTGCTTAAGGTTGAGAAGAACTGTTCGCTCTGTTTCTATGCTTTCTGAAATTACATTGAAGGGTATGGAGATGAGGAAAAAGAGGAGGATTTCTGGACGCAGTTGGAGAAGTTTGGACATTTAGGATGTTTCAGGTCGTCAATCCGATTGGGAAATTAACCGGGCAAAACGAAACGGGTATCTAATCTAATCTCCTGATCTACTGGTCTTATATTGGAGAAAGTCTTCTATACTACAGGAATACCATCTGATATATATCCTTCTCATGGAAGAAATTTTGTTGGGGAATAAAGACTCGGGGAAGAAGACAGAAAGAGAAATAAGATACGCGAAGGAGAGAGAAGGCAGTTCCG